ATTTGACATAACTTTTTTATTTATGAACCGATTTACATGAAACAAACACTAAAGCATAACTGAAGCATACTACAATATATTCATGAAAACCGCATCCAACTCGGATCAGCCGTTTCTGAGATTAGCGTGAACAGACAAACAGACAAACAGACAAACAGACAAAAAAAAAGTTAGTTACATTTTTGGGTTCGACATCGACATAACAATAGCCCCTGCTATTTTTTTTATTTTTATTTTCAATGTACAGACAGCACTTTTCAACAATTTTATTATATGTATAGATGTAGACAAGCGCTAAATGGCATTGGCTACAGCTGCAGGTTACAGGGGCGCCAAAAGACGCGCGTGACTAACTGCCCATATAGTGGCGACGGCGCCAAAAAAATTTAGGGCTCTCTCTAGGTTTAATCCGACTCTGGACCGTCTCCGATACATAAGCGGATTATCATTCCCATTCACTTTATTTTATTTTTTACTTTTTTAAGACGGGGGACTTCTTCGAATGGCGCCTTTTTGGGGAGAAAGACTAGAGAGTGTTTGTTCTTCACTGATACCACCCCGGTGGCCACCCTCAGCCCCAACCTATGAAAGAGACCCGCTCCTAGGGTTACCGACTTTTTTAGAAGTAATAGAGTATATCTGATTTTAAAAGAGGTAAATAAAGAGTACTGACTGGTGCTGACCTACAAAAAAGAGTAAGTATCATTTATTTTATGCTATTAAAAAAAATTTTTTTCGTATTTCTGTATCATCAGTTTAGTTATTATACCAGGTAACAGGTTAGCCTATGGCTCGATAAAGAGTATTTTAGCGTACTCTACTAGTGGTATAGATTATAGAATACGCCTACACGATATAGAGGACAATATTCTATTTTAGAGTATGGTTGATAACCCTACCTGCTCCAGAGCCCCCACGGTGCAACGCTTATTAAGGGACATCCCTAGGGCTGCCATCATCACCTGGCTCTCTACTCAGACCTCTATATTACATGAGGTGCTGTTAACATGTGATGTGCAAGTCCTTACCTAGCACTGAATTCAGGTAAATTCTCAGGTATGGGCATCCAGGCAACCGCTTTAATGTCCTTAGGCAGTAATCTGTTCAGGATCTTGCAGTAGTCCATCTCTTTATTTAATGCTTCTTCTGTATATTGCTCGGAGGGTGGGAACTTGCTCTTTAAGGATATTGATATTACCTGTAATAAGTAATTAATATATTTTAATTTACAATGTTAGTTTAGATTTATAAAGAAAATATTACTTTTTCTTTTTTAAAAAGCATTGCCCCACACTAGGATTTTCTTCTGTGTCGTGGGTGCGTTTAGAAACATACAAGTTCACATTCATATGACACACAGAGAACAACAATTTGTGGACCATACAAAGAGTTGCTCCGTGTGGGAATCGAACCTACACGCTGTGCGGCTGCCAGTTACCCAGTCACCGCGTCAACTGGTATTTAGTTTATTAAGTATAATCTAAATACTTATCAAGTATATAAACTAAATAATAACTACATGGCTATAATCACATTAATATTAAACTTAAAATGAAATTAATGTTATAATTATTATAAAGACAACAAATAACAAAAGCTGGCCTGACTGCCTTGCTGGACGAGTGGTCGCAAGTGCGACTGGCGTGCAAGGGGTCTCGGGTTCAATTCCCGGGTCGGGGAAAGTGTTATATTAGGTTTTAAAAAAAATCTCAGTAGTAGCACGGAGTCTGAAATTGTGCCCGGTATATGGCAAAAGGCTCACCCCCTAATACATAGGACTCATAACATAAATAGTGAAAAGTGGGTGTTACATTATACAGTGGCATTAAGTCCTGTAATGTGCACCTCTGCCTTTGTTTGGACAGCACTGGTCCAGAATAACACATAGGTTACTTTGTAACCCACTGGAACGCAAGCAAATCCACTAGTAGGCGCTAGTAACACAATAAAAATCGAATCACCTGCCCGAAGGAACTGACACCTTTGTCAGTCCGTCCACATCGATGATAATTAGAGGTCTCTCGACTCTGTATCAGGCAGGATTTCGTGAGGGCATTGAAGAGGTGATTCTCTATAGTTTGGTTGGAGTCCTCTTGCACTGCAAGACCATTGTAGTCCCAACCGAAGTAGGAGATACGGAGTAGGACACGACGGAAGTGGTATCTGGAAAGATATGATTGACAATTAGTTATTTTATACTATGCAGGTTAAATTCTTTATGAGTACTTCTTTTCTATTTAAGGACTTCGATTCTATATAAGGACACTACTTATTTGCAGAATGGCAATAGGTAATAGGATCACATTTTATTACATGGAGCTCATAAAATAAATAGTGAAAAGTGGGTGGTACATTGTACAGTGGCATTATGTGCCGTAATGTGCACCTCTGCCTATCCATTTAGGGATAAAAAGGCGTGATGTTATGTTATTTACAGATAGGGACGAAAAGTAAGTAAGAAAACCCTTAATCTAAATTTTTAAGCTACTTTTCATCTCTTTTTATATAGTGCTTCAGTTTTAATTTGTTCTATTTTGTTATTTACCGCATACATTGCACACATTTTATACTATTATATAAAGCGGAAAAGTTCGTACGACAACTATAATCAACTTAGAATAAGACCGGATCATTTGCACTTAGATCATGTGCATATGTGTATCAAGCATTGAGAAACAAATTTACACAGTGCCCAGCAACTTGCCAAGTCGAGTGCGAACGCCGGTTCTGGCGACAGATTTGTGCAATGGTGTCTTGCCTTACCTGATTCTGCACCCTTGTGTACCCTTCAATGGTTAAGTCACACAACATTAACTATAGTAATAAAGAAATCGCAGTAAGGAACCTCAAACTTGGCACGACTTTTTCTAGATTTCATTACTTTTTAGAGATAAGCCAGCGGCTCTACCGAAACTTGGCTAGTTTTATATACATAGAATAAAACTTACTTGCTAAAATCCACCTGTCGTTTATTTTCCTTCGCATCAGTTTCTGAAGAAGATTGAGAGAAGTTCTTATTTATAATATTCTTTAACTGTACATTGTGAGCTTCTAATTGCATAATTCTCGCTATTAGTTGCTGAAAAAACAGAATTATGCGAAAAATAAATTACGAAGAGGTTATGTTCCGAAAAACATGTTGTATTGTACTATACCGACCTCTTTACTCCATTTTGCTAGTTCTTCTTTCGAATTTGTGTCGGTATTTTTCTTTTTTGGCGGCATTATTCTTTATAACGTGATTATAATAAAAAAATAATGCAGTGTTTACAAAATGATCGCGACAACAAAATAGACAGATTTTGACAATGACAGTCAGCTGAGTCAGCTGAGTAAACTGTCAGTTAGTTGACGTGAAAATTTGATAGAGGTGTTTTTTCTTACAAATTGTTCCTGCTTGGAAACTAGTATTTTATCCAAAATTGTTTTTTTTATTTGATTCCAATTGGTTGAACCAACCTTTATTAACATTTGAAACAGATACAAGACGACTGGCGCTCAATTTATTGCATATTACAGAAGTTCAGGTCTTTTTGATAAGGAGGTAATAATATAAAATAGGTACTATAGGGCGCCACTTAATTTATCAGAGCACTTTTACGTGCTTTTTTAGCCTTACACATTCGTACAAGTAAGTAGGTACGTCTGTTGACGGTTTTTATTTATTTTTATATAAATATTTGATAGGAGCACAATACCACCTGCATCTAAAATTAGGAAATATTCATTAATAATGCAAAAGAAACGAAAGGGAAGTGTGAGCCCGAATTAGAATGACCTTTACCAACGAAATGTTCTACCCCACTATGATTACAACCATACTACTATTACAAATAAATATAGTAGCGTTTTAATATTTATTTTGCCCTTTTCGTCAACTTAATAGCGTTTTAACTCGTCGAGTACCGGTTTTGTAGACACAATAATAATTATAGAACAATAGGTTGCGGTCACCGGTGACCGCTTGGTGTTTGACAGTTTAAGGGATTGTTTAAATATTTTTTACTGTTTGCTGGACATTTTAATCTAATGTACCTTTTAAATTAACAAATCATACTCTTATAATCTTACAACAACATAACATCACGCCTATTATCACCTAAGGGGTAGGCAGAGGTGTACATAGGTACATTATGCCACTGTAGGTACAATGTAACACCCACTTATCACTATTTATGTTATGAGTCCCATGTAAGCCTATTACCTATTCTTATAATCTTATTTATACCAAATTACTTGTCTGTTATGTTCTACGGCCCGTGTAAAGGACTGAGAGTCGGTAAGAGTGAGTTTATTGCAATTTATCAGGCACATTACAAGGCTCAGGCTCAGAGAAATTTTAAACTTGAAAAAATGTAACACGCTGACCATTGAAAAGAAACCAAAACGCCCAGATCGTCAGACAAGCTATGTGATCGCTCAACAAACCAGCCAGTCAAATATCTATAAATTAAGCTATTCCTGCGCGGTTTAACAAGCTGTTCGGCTCCTATTGGTCCTAGCGCGATATTTTAAAGTCTATAGCAGCCTTCCTTGATCAGGAGACTATCCACAATTATAATTATTCAAATTGATTACCAAGAAAAAAAAAACAAAGACTAATAACAAACAAAAAGTCAAAACTAAAAAGCAAAAAATAACTTTTATAAGTTACTGATAGGTTGAAAGCGCCTCAAAGAGCCATCAGACCACCACAGATGGGGCCCAATAGGGCTGTTGCCGATTCGGAGTCGCGGAGAACCTAACGGGTAACCGGGGCTCCGGCTCGACGTGCAGGAGAAGGAACGGGGTGGTTTTTAGTCAGTAAGAGGCTGACACTCCCTTCCGCCTCACCCAGGCGGGAGCAGTCATTCGATGATTTCCCCCCCTTAAAAAGAAACCCTTTTAAACAAAACAAGATTTTTGGAAATCGGTTCACAAATGGCGGAGTATTTGCGCGAACAAACAAAATAAAAAAACAATCAGCCGATAGTACCTCCTACTTTTTTTTTAAAGTCGATAAAAACCCAAAAAAACCTTCAAGAAACTTAATGTTTAAAAAAGTGTAGACACTGAAAATAGCCATTTTAGGCATCTCTACACCAAAATAGACCGAAGTCCAGGCCCAAACAAACAAGACCTAATTTCCAGGATCGATTTTGACAAAAATACCTGAAAAACTAGCCCTCAGTAGGCATTCCTATTTGGCTATTTTAGTCAGAAATGTGTTAAAATATTGACACTGACGCGACCGGGTCACGGTGTACGTCAGAACATTATACTACCCACCCACTGGTTCAGTTGAGCAGGGCCGGATCTATGTCGTAGAAGATGGGTATTGGAATAATAATTCGGACGCGCCCATTATTTATTGATTTGTTGGCTTAAATAGGGTAGGTAGTATCCTAAATTTTATTTTAATGTCCGTTTAGTAGAATATTTTAAAAAATTAAACACGTATATTTTCTTTTCTTAAAAAATTAAATACTTTCGACGATATATTAATTAGAAATATCGTGTGATGTCGCGATTTACTTCGTATTGTGGGGTAGCGTGCGTGACGTAACGACCTCCCATTTCTAAATTTGACTCCGTTTTATCTAAGCAAAACTGTAGTTACTAAGCAAGGGATAGGCAGTTCACAAATAGGTACAGTGCAAAATTGACTTTTCACCCGTTTAAACTTTGATACGTGTTGGGTTTTCAGGGGTGTGGAATAAAGTTCAACACACGATTGACTGTAAACTTGTATATTGGATAAAAACTTTTAAACAAAATAGGTATAAACAAAGTTGCACAATATTACAATAAGATAAGACTGAAATATTCGCGGTACAAATGCGTCACGGTTTCGGCGCAGGACTCGTTATTCTGTCACGGTATACGCAAACGTCGAGCGGTCTATGGCGGGGAAGCGGGGGAAGAGAAATGAGGGGAGAGAGGTGGCGTGTTGCTACTAGAGATGCGCGCGTGCGTCCGACATAAACCGAAATCGAATTTCCGCGTTACACCCGTTATATTATAAGTTCTGTGTGGTAGGAGAGTTTGGGAGTGACTACATTGTTCAACCCATGTTACCATTTAAACTGTCAAACACCGCTAGGACACCGGTGACCGCAACCTATTGTTCTATAATTGTGTCTATAATGACGGTACTCGACGAGTTAATTCATTCAATGTCGTCTCAATATGGTTTCAATGGGCGCTAGTGTTGCAACTTAAGAGTGCGAAATTTCACAAAATCATGTCGGTCAATTGAAATTATATTCAAGAGTAAGCCCCCTGAGTATCGAATATGAGGTAACCCCATAATAATTATCAAATTAATAACCTATATTCAGAATCCCTTAATAATCCTAGTGGCGTCGACTAAACTGTATGTAGTCATACAATTGTAGTCGGGGCCTCTCAGTCCTATCAAGTCGGGGCCCAACATTGTCGCAATGCGGCCCTGGCGACGACCCGTTTATATTGATGGATACTTAGACATTTCCTCTGTTTGTACAGGGCATGCGATACTTCAGCGTGATTTTATATCTGTGGCACTTTACTATAATTGGAGGTTACATGATTGGAAATTAAAGCTATTTATTTACTTGTAGAATAGAATTTGAATGTTTTGTTTTTTGTTTTTGTTTTCTTACTCTTTTTTAACCTATTGAAATTTAAAGTGACGACTGCACGGTTGGTGCGGTGGCTGGGCAACCGGCTGCCGTGCAGCGTGCCGCGGGTTCGATTCCTGCACGGAACAACACTTAGTGTGATCCACAAATTGTTGTTTCGGGTCTGGGCGTCATGTGTATATGAAATTATATGTTTGTAAACGCACCTACGTCACAGGAGAAAATCCTAGTGTGGGGCAACGTTTTAAAAAAAGAACAAAAAAGAAATGTTAACTACAAGATTTTTTTTAAACGCCTTTACTAATCCTTCCATGGAACTAAGTAATATTAATATTATAAATACAAATAAGTAACTAAAAACTAAAATATTTTTATTATATTTACACATTAAAAAACATATTATTATTGGAAATCAAAAAAATTTTCCTCATCGCCATCGTGAGTTAGGGTGCCCAAAAGAAGGGGCAGCCAATGCTCAATATTGCCACGTTAAATGGCAATGCTTAACCTTTGCCCAAAGTAGTAGCCAGCCCTGTGATCACCGCCTCACCGGAAGTGTCAACCCTATAATATATGTAGAGGTATATCAAATTTTACCTCCTTCATTATTTTATTGAACAAGGAAGATTGCTTTAAAAAATAATTAAAAATAGCAATAGGCACAGGTTTCAGTGAGCCAATTACTTTATGTGGTGTGGGTACAGGATAAAACAAATTTAAACAAAATTATCGTCAATAACCCATGGTAGTACACAAGGCTACACACCGAGCTTTACATAACCAGTATAAACTGAACGTTAAATGTGCGGAAAGGTGATGCGACGCGACACCAGGATAAACTGGTTTTGTATAGATTGATGTGTGGCTGTGTGTACAACAACATCATCGTCAACAGCCTATAACCACTGTTGACCAAGAGCCTCTTCTCACACGGAGAAGATTTGAACATTAATTACCAGCTCCTCGCTTGCTTAAGGCGGATTAGCGATTTCAAACTTATAATTAGAAATTAAACAAAGAAAGAAGCAAAGAGGTGTGTAGGGATCGTAGTAATTGGCGTTCCATAGTCTCTGCCTACCCCCATTGGAGACAGACGTGAAGTTATGTATGTATGTAATTAGAAATTATAAAGTTCAGGTTTCCTCATGATGTCTTCTTCACCTTTTGTCAGTGGTGTCTATTTTTTCTGGAATAAGCCAGTGGATGAGCTTACAGATCACCTGATGGTTAGCAAATGGCATCGCCCATGGACACCTGAAACACTAGAGGCATTAAAGAGCGTTACCAGACTTTTGGGGATTACGAATATGAGAATTGTTGGGAATTCGGGAGATTTGATAGGGGGAAGGGAACTGGGCCTCTGGTAACCTCACTCACACGACGAAACAACGCAAGTGTAGTTCACGTCGGTTTTCTGCTCGGCCGTGGTATCACTCCGGTCGAGCCGGCCCATTCGCGACGAAGCATGGCCCTTTCACACTCAAATTGAGATAGGTCATTGAAATTGGTTGTTGACCAGCTCTTACGAAAAAAAACAGTGCTTAAAACTTTCTATTATTATGGAAACAAAACCAGTGGCTAAATAATATAAAATTCTACACGTCAGTAATAAAGAAATCGATGCCATGATTGTCTCTTGGAATCTCCGAGGGAAACTGACCAGCTGTCACCATAAATAGGTACCTAAGTCGTGAATTTATCGATT